CCCCCTGTTTCAGCGTCCCCGCTTTACCGCTCTAGCCAATGTGAAGGAATACTTAGATGTGGTCATTGTGCGCTATTCTACTCCCTCCTCCGCCTCTGCCAGTTGCATGATCCTTCCCATGTTGTTTCCTGATCTTGCGTCTTTCCCCACTGTCGCTGACCTCGCCACTCACCTCCGCGCACTTGAGACTAGCTACCGCGCCGCTAGCACTGAGGCACAGCTCACTGCCTTCTAGCCGCCGCTTTGCGCTACCCTTTACCTCATTGCCATGCACCTTCCTGACCACCTAGCCACTACCCGCGACCACTTCCTTAGTCAGCACCCTGGTGATCTCACCCTTACCGCCTTGGTCACAGCCCTGTCCGCGATAGAGACCCGCCAGCGCACTATCAATCAGTCTAGCTGTACTGCGGCGGTCCCTATCTTCCAGGGCTGTTCTCCATCTCAATGCACTTACTCTGACATTTCTGCCACCGTCGCTGAGACAGCCCCTGCTGCTAAGACCACCGCCGCGGCCTTAGCGCAGCCGCGTCAGGATTAGGGCCGCCGCCCCAAGGGGGGGCGTGGCGGAGGGAAGGGTGGCAGGGGTTGTGGGGGTGGTGGGGGTGGTGGAGGTTGGGGCGGGGACCGTGGTGCAGACGAGGGGACCAGGGCTGATGCTCCATAACAGCAGCAGCAGCAGCCACCGTAGGAGCCCCCGCCACTGTGGTGGCCTGGTGGCATTGGTTGTGGTGGGCGTGGTGGTGGGCCGCGCAGCTCGGTGTCGAGTTGTGGCTCCAGTGGGATCACCTTCCAGTACCGGCTTCAGTCCGGCCCCCGCCGTAGCACCGTCTGTGACAGTCCCAGTCACACCGCCGCCCGCTGCTACTGCCTCTTGGATGACCTCTTCCGTCTCTGCTTCGACCGGACCCCCCTCATAGGTACAACCTGGTGCATCGCCGTGTGCCTGTCTTAGAGTTGGATATGGATCACAGTAGGTATGCTATGTATGTCATGTATGCTGATGACTCTAGTGTGACTAGACCCTATTACCTTGTGTTGCCTAGTTTAGGTGTGTCCACTGTGTGTAGCCTAGGTACACCTGCTGCGTCAGGCGTAGGACCACCTGTCTTGTTTGGCCTCGGCTCTACTTTAGCTCGCCCATCTTCGGACGCCACCGCCACGCTCTCTTTCATGACAGAATCGGTTGCGTCCGCCAGGTTGGGACAGAACGCCAGGGATAGTGGGATCTCCTCTGCCTCTCCTGCCAGCGACAGGTCCAAGTCCTCCAGAGAAGATAGAATCGAAGGTATGCCGGTGTTATTGACCATTGCACGCATGAGGCCAATGCCATTTAAGCTCAATTTCCTGAGCCCAGGCAGTGCAGGGATCTCAAGCAGAGGTGTGAGCCGCTGGCAGCTCTCCAAGCTCAAATTCTGTAGTGAAGGTGGGGAGGATCTTGACACTTCCATCAGCTGCGAAATCTTGCCAAGTGCCAACTGTCTCAGCCTTACCAGGCTGCGAAAACTACTGGGAATGGAAAATAGGCTATTGCAACTTGCAATTCTCAGAAATTCAAGCTTCACAAGGTCAGTGATAGAGTCTGGAATCTTCCGGATCTTAGGGCAGTACTGGATGCAAAATTCCCGCAGGTTCCTCAGCTTCCCGATTCCCTCTGGAAGCACAGACAGCTCCCTTATCGTCTCTGGCAGCTCAGCAATACTGCACAGGCACAGCTCCAGGCTGGTCAGGGAAGACAGCCGCGTGAACGAGGGCGGAAGCAGCTGCGGGGTATGATTCTCAATGAACTCAAAAGTCCGGAGATTGGTCAGCCCACCGATGTGTTGCAGAATCACGAAGAGTGGAGAGTTTGAGATGCAGAGGGACTCGAATGCAGTAAGATCTCCGAATCTCGGAGCCAGTTGGCGGAGGTCCTTGCAGGAGACCAGATTCAGGGTCTCCAGGCACGAGAGCTGGCAGAAGGAAGCAGAGAGATCCGTGAGGTGCAGGAGGTGCAGCGACAAAGTCTTCAGAGCGGGAAGCTCGCCAAAGTTTTCGGGCAGGTTGACAATGTTGCTAAGGGTGATTGTCAACTTCTGCAGGCAGTTTAGGGAAGCGAAGCCCTTGGGCAGCCCAAATAGATTCTCGCATTTCTGGATGCTCAGCTCCCGGAGGCACGGCAACAGTCCTCCAATGGCGTCCGGAAGTCCCTCGAGCCCCTCGCACCTGCTTAGAAGCAATCGCTCCAGGCGGCTACACGACGAATCTGGCGGAAACATGAGGTCGAACTTTGGACTGTGTGAGTAGAACTTCAGCAACTTCAGAAAGGACTCCAACTTTTCCCCCAAACCATTGTTTCTTCGAACACCATCCACCAGCCATGGCTGCACTGACCGATGCGATGAGTGGAACGATCCCTTGAACTGAGTGATAGAAGAATAGTGCTGCTTAGAACCAGAGGAGCATCCCTGAATCAGGTTATGCTTTATGTGCTACCGCAAGCTTCTATCTATCGTGACGGCTCGCTAGCTCGTTTCGTAATACAGACTGTTTTTTTCACGAGCTGCACTCTCTCTGTAAAGATCGACTTAGGAAATGGAGTCCCGTACTCGTGTCGATGACCTTCCCGACGAGCTTATTGTCAAGATATTCTGGCCCAACGATCAGCCAGTGTGTAGCAAACCGGACAGCCTTGCATCATGGGACTCATTGTGTTTAAGGTCGAAATACCTGTATGACGACCGTTCACTTAAAATTTTCGACCATTACAACAAGACTCAGTTACCAGCTCTCCCTGTTTTTTCAGACGCCGCTTTTAATCTCCTCATAGCGTCAACCTGTCGCAGATGGCGCCGTCTCGCTCAGCATCACATATCCACCCTTCTCGTCAAAGAGAACCAAGGAGTATCTCGCCAGGACCTGGCTAACGCCATCACTTGCTTCCCAAACGTCTGTACACCTGTGCGATGGCAGCATGGAGTTCATAGACGACGCTTTCTTCGCTCTCCTTGCATCATCCTGCCCGAAGCTGACAGCTCTCCACGTGGGAAGTGGAATCGCACCAGTGGACTACACTATGAGCAAGGATCAGCACCCGGTTACGGAAGCTGGTCTGGATCTATTCTTTCGGCACTGCACGCTGCTGGAGGAGCTTTCTCTCTACTGTGTCTGCGAAGATGCTGATCTACTGGCTTCTTTCTTCCAACTGAAGCATCTGCGTACTCTCACTCTGATAACCCCTTCAGCGTTGGAATCTCCGGATCTCGGGAACCTGTCTTCCCGGACCAGTCTCCACATTGCCGCCCAAGAGATGGAGCTGGAGCAACTTTCAAGCATATACAGCCTTCCAAATCTGACCAGCCTCTCTTTTTCTGGCGAAACCTGTGCATATCCGACTGGTCAGCTTGCTGCTGCCGCCATTGCACGGCTTCCTCATTTAAAGACCCTCCACAAAGTTTTCCCTTCAGAGTCACCATTCGCTAGCCTTGAGCAGTTGCAGATCATGCTGTCCTTTGACCTCGTGCATCTTCCTGACAACGTCGCAGACTTGCTGCCGTGTCTCCGGGAGCTGAGCATCCATAGCAGCGAAGATTTCATCCAGCTGCCAGAGACTTCACGTCCCTCCATTGCCTGGAGAGCTTGACAATCTCTGCGTGCAAATCGCTCTCCAGCCTGCCTGACAACTTTGGACAACTGCCGGTTCTAATGAAACTGGTCCTGGACAAGCTACCCTTCTCGAAACTTTGTGACTCCATCTCTCTTTTCACATCCCTGGAGATGCTATTCATCCGCTCTTTAGATCTCGACCAGCTGCCAGCAAGTTTCTGCTCCCTCACCGTTCTCAGGACACTGTGCATCATGAAGATGCCTCGAGTGGTGCTTCCTGAGAGCATTGGAAGGCTTGTCAACCTCGAGACTCTCCTTCTGGCCGTCAGCTATGGGAAGCCACTTCCATCCTCGTTCATGCAGCTGTCTTCTCTAACGAGCCTGAAACTCGATACCTGGATGATCAAGAAGCTTCCTGAGGACGCTGGGAAGCTGAGCAACCTGCGCCAACTGCACTTGAATTTCTGCGGGTGGATCAGCGAGCTTCCAGTGTCCGTTACAGCCCTCACCAGGCTTGAGATGTTGACAGTTCGTGACTGCATAGGGCTCTCTTCAGTGCCAAGGAGCCTGCGTAATCTTCAGAGGTTAAAACGGTTTGAGCTAAAAGGATCGGAAAGGTTGGCTGATTATTCCGAGTTTCTGCCACCCTCTGTTGAGGTGCTGAGCCTAGGATACTCCAGCCAGATCACTCCTCTGCCATACCTGCTGCCGTATCTTCAGATGCTGAGCTTGAATCTGAATGGGATCACGCAAGGGCTTGAGGCTATCGGTAGCAGTCTATCTCACCTGAAGCACTTGTACCTGGTTTTGGACCAAGACGCCAAGGAGCTTCCTTTTTCCTTGGCGTTTCTTCCACAGCTGCAGATGCTAACGGTGTCATAAGCCGGAATGATTGAGCAGCTTCCAGGGGAATTTGGATCAGCACTGTTGCGGCTGCGGCAATTGCTGATACTGCAGGCTGAGGCATTGGTGGAGCTGCCTGCGAGTATTTCAAGGCTTGAGAAGCTCACATCTCTGGAGGTTCACACTGTACCAAAGCTATCTGCTCTTCCCGATGGCATCGGTGCCTTATCAAGGCTGTGCAAGCTCGTCCTGTCCAACTGCTCTGCTGCAGTGCATCTACCTGCTTCCCTCACCAAGCTCGCTTCCCTGTATGAGCTGAATGTTGGAAACTGCTGCTTTCATTCACTGCTTTCAGATTTCTCATGGTTGACCAGACTGAAGAAACTAGCCTTGTCTGACTGCAAGGAGCTGGTGGCCCCACCAAGGGAATTGTCGGAGCTGAAGCTGCTGAGGCACCTAAGAATTGCAGGTTTAGATAATCCCCGTGACTTCTATAGGAAGTATGGACTGAGTGTTCGTGGTTAGTTTCCACTGGGCCAGCGTACACTAAAACTTGAAGTGCGAATGTTTGGACCAAGAGCTTTGATGGGTACATGTTGCACATAGGAACATGAAATGCACTTTATATTGAGTGTGGTCTTTATGCAATATGATGTTCACAACACCTAGTTATGCATCTGTTTGTACATAAAAGAGCATGTAGGCCTCTGCCTGGGATCGAGGGCCTGTAATGACAGCTTCTGGTACCTGCAGGATACAGCAACGATATAGCGAGGACGAGACCATTAGGGTGCATGCAATATGGCGGGAGAGGAGAGATGAGAAAGATGGGGTGAAATCAGGGGCACCGAGGGCTGGAGGGGGGTGTATGCATGGATAGAGTGGCCACAATGTATACCTGTTACCGATATTACAGCTGAACGCCTCAGGCCAATCACAGCCATCACCACCAGCAGCAGAAACTGGAAGTACTTCACTTCCTATTGCAGCAGCATGGATCTGCATGCTCAGCCACGTCACACTCAACTCGGCTTAGAATAACTCACATTTCTGATCACATCACCATCATCGACTTGCGTCCAACCAGGCGGTGACAAGCTGTCATCCGCCACATCAGCGATGTAATGACCGTGCGCCACGGAGGTCCCCGTGTGCCGCACCACAGCCCGCAGGGCGAATCGGAAGCTGTCACGTGGCTGTGGTTCAGTTTAGAGAGAGCAAGGTGGGAGCAACAACAGATAGAGTTTGAAGATATTAATGCGAGGGAGTAGAAGAGAGGAGTTTTACAGCGATGAAGGAGCTGTGACATCTGACACGGATGATGTGAACAGAGTCAACCATTGGCTGCTGAAGCATGGCAAACGAGGGGTAGGCGGACAGAAGCGTGACCAGAGTGTGTTACATGGGTTAAAGAGCCATGAGAGTGTGTTACATGGGTTAAAGAGCCATGAGAGTGTGTTACATGGGTTAAAGAGCCATGAGAGTGTGTTACATGGGTTAAAGAGCCATGAGAGTGTGTTACATGGGTGAAAGAGCCATGAGAGTGTGTTACATGGGTTAAAGAGCCATGAGAGTGTGTTACATGGGTTAAAGAGCCATGAGAGTGTGTTACATGGGTTAAAGAGCCATGAGAGTGTGTTACATGGGTTAAAGAGCCATGGCGTGAGCCATGAGAGCCATGAGAGTGTGTATCATGAAACATGATACTACAGCACCCATGCGCTCCTGATGCACTTCCGCTCCGTGATATTAAACCCTTAACTGTATACATTCTCACACATACCTCGTTTTTATGGAAGTTAGTCTCTCGCATCACTGCTGCACAAAAGGGACCTGGTGGGGAAGCATGCAGATGAGACGAACGCACCAGAGCAGAGAAGTGGAACCGACAGAAGTCAACGCACATCTTCACGCCACAAAAGGATCAGAATAGTGAAAATGGTTGGACGAACAAGACGGGGGAAAAACAGTATTGCATGATGTAAGGGTTGGTAATGTGGGATAACTCACCCACATCCAGTAAAATGGCTATCTCCACCCGGTCCATGTTCTTCCGACACACAAACCGCCCTCTGCTCGCCTCAATTCCAGCACCACCATCCACGATGCCTGCACCTCGGTCCGTCCCACCACCAGCACCCACTGTGGTGCTACATGCCCTCCCACCATTCATCTCCAGCCGCACTGAACCATCATCCATCGCATCCCCTTCCCCTTCCCCATCACCCATCACACCAGCTGCTCCTTCCAAAAGCTCTGCCCAATCCTCCTCCACCTCCTCACACTCCTGTACCACACCCTCCTCGTCTTGCCCCTCCTCTTCCTCTTCCTCCTTCCTCTCTTTCTCCATCTCCCTCATCTCAGCCAACTCTCCCTCCGCTCTTCCTCCACCCTCCATTCTCCCCCCATCTCTGCCTCCCTCCCTCACACATCTCATGAGCCTACCCCCTCCTTTTAGCCCACAACCCGCCCCCTTAGATACCACCTGCCTATGCACAACCTCCCTGGCTACCACCTGCCTAGCTGCCGCCTTTGCCAGGGAGAAGGGATTGACTGGAGAAGCCTTAGAGGCAGGCAGAGGAGCAGAAGGAGGAGAGGAGGAGGAGGACGGGGGTGTCGTGACTTGAGGCGCGTTGAGAGACGGAGTAGCAGGGCTTGTAGGGGTCGCAAAGGGGTTGGAGGGGAGCGTGTTGTGTGCTGGAGGGGCCGTGTTGTGAGGAGTGTCAGAGGGAAGGTGAGGGGAGGCGGGTGTAGTTTGAGGTGCTTCAGGCAACGGAGTTGGTGGGAAGGGGGGGCTATCTTGAGGTTTCTCAAGGGAGGGGGAGGGAGAGGGGAGGCATGTGGTGGTGTCTTGGAGTTTGTCGTGGGAGGGAGAGGGCAGGAAGGTGGTTTGGAATCGGTTGAGGTGGAGGAGCAGGGTGCGGGGCAGGCGGAGGATGGTTCGGGAGATGCGGCACGTTGCAGAGCGGTGACAGTGGGCGCATGTCCTGCCTTGGACCGTCTCGTCCTGGAGATGGGGAGGATGAGACAGGGGGGAGGGGAGAAGGGAATGGCTTTCAGAAAAGTAAAGAAGAGGGGCGGAACACAGGAAGGGAAACCAAATGCACTTGACAAGGATCAAACCTGAGAGTTATCACATGCTCCTGAACCTCATGTGATTCCAATGTACCGATGAGACCTGGTGTCGTACCTGATACAAATCAAATATACCTGATAAGAATCAGATGTACCTGATAAGCATCAGATGTACCCAATAAGCCTCATGATAAGTATCACTTACTTGAGAAGAACCAAATGTGCCTGATAAGCAACACATATACCAAATTTGCATCAGATGTATCTGGTGCGCATCAGATGTACCTGGTAAATGTGAGATGCACCTGGTAAGTGTCAGATGTACCTGATAAATGTCAGCCGTACCTGATAAGCATCAGATGCACCTGAAAGCACCCGATGTACCTGAAAGCATCAGATGTACCTGAAAGCATCAGATGTACCTGAAAGTAGACATGGGCAGAAGCCGAGCCACACCCGGCTCGGCTCGGCTCGGCTCGGCTCGGCTCGCCAAAAAGTCGAGCCCAGGCTTTTTTTTTTGTACCTGGCTCGAGGCGAGCCGAGCCGGCTCGGCTCGGCTCGTCACCGTCTTTTACGGCGAGCCGGCTCGCCCCTGGCTCGATTTTGAGCCAAGTGGCTCGCGCCTCGGGATTTGGGGGGATTGGCGTGGGAACAGTTTGTAGATTGACGGAACACTCTCCTCACGGACTAGTACCACGCCACGCCATCCCCCCCAATCCCACTAAAACTAGCCAGCAACTACATCGTTCGTAAGTTGCGCGTGCCTTAGCTAGTTTTAAAGCACCAACAAGTCTAGATTAGGAGTTTATGTAGGGCTTGGCGAACTCGATTTTTGCAGCGCACCTAGTCAAAGCTGGCAAACAGGGGTCCCTAAAAACCACCAACCCCTAAAAACCAGCAAGGCGAGCCGAGCCGAGCCGGCTCATGCCCACGTACCTGAAAGCATCAGATGTACCTGATAAGCATCAGATGTACCTGATAAGCACCAAATGCACCTGATAAGCATCGCTGCACCTAATAAGCATCACCGATACTTGACAAGAACCAGATGTACCTGACAAGCACCAGATGTACCTGATGCGAAAAATATTCACCTGAGAGGAACCAGATGTGTCTGACAAGAATCAAACGCACCTGATAGAAATTTGCTTTGCCTGCAGCAGGCTGGAGAGAGGATGGCAGCTAAGACGGGTAAGCGAATCACGCCCATCACCACAACCACCACTGACACTGTTACCTGTGATCAGACTGTGATGCACCAAATAAGGATTGGCTTTACCTGGAAGTAGTGCTGCAGCAGGGTGGAGAGAGGATGGCAGCTGAGCTGGGCTGAAGAACCACCTCCGTCACCACTGCCTTCTCTGTTGCCCCCGTTGCTGCTTGCACCAGCAGCAGCAGATGTGCCAGCAGTAGTAGCAGCAGCAGCTGCAGCAGTAGCAGCAGTGCTAGCAGTGGTAGTGTGAGTTTCAGAGCACATGGGGTAAGAGGAGGGGATCGGGAGTGAGAGACAGAGGAACTCCTCCTCAGCCATTTCTCTCCCTCCACACTCCACACACTCCCTCACCACCCCCACCGCGGAGAGAAAATTGCTGCCCACCACACACCCACTCCCGTCCCCAGCTCTAGCCTCCTCCACCCTCGCCTTTCCCTCTCCTCCCTTCTCTATCCTCTCTTCGCCCTTCCCTCCCTTGTCTCTCAGCCCTCCTTCCTCGCCTCCTCCCTCCCTACCCACTGCCGCCCTTCCGTCCCCCAGGGTGGGAGCATGGGCGTGGGCGGGAGAGGCGGCAGCGGCAGCGATGGTGGTGGCTTCACAGCGAAGGCAGTCCAGCAGCGAGCAGAGGAACTCGTGGGCGTCCTGCAGGGATGGGAGGAGAGGCGAGCAGGAAATGACATGTGGGGAAACACATGGGGAAGGCTCGCATGTGGGAGGTGCGTGAGGGAGCGGAGGCAGTCAAGCAGCGAGCAGAGGAACTCGTGGACGTCCTGAAGAGGTAAGACGAGCTTTGAGAAGAGCTTCTCACAAACCAGCTCAACGCTTTGGAGAAGCAATGGACCGAAGAAGACCACTTTTGAGTCGACTCAAAAGGCATGTGGTCAGAAGAAGGTATTGAAAGGAAGGCGGAAGACACAAGGCAGCGCCAGAAGAGAGCAGACGGGTTGAGGAGCTACTTGCCCCATTCGCTTGCCTTCTATCCCCTCACCCGTTGCACCCGCCCCAGACAGGTGGGCGCAACACGTCCTCCTAACCCAATACCCATGGCATGGCCATGCTCACAAAACAAACCCTCCTACTGCCCTGCTCCTCCCGCCTTCCCGCCCTTCTCTCACCTGTTGCTCCTGGCCCAAAAAGATGCCAGCACTTCGCCCCACTGCTCTTTTAACAGCCCTCGCATCTGCCACGTCATCCACCACTCTAGCCACGTCACCCAGTCTACCGCTCTCCGTGGTGCTCATATTCCCCACGCTGGTGCCACTGCTGCTGCCAGTGCCACGTGGCAGGCCCAGGAGCTGCCACGTCAGCCGCTGAAGCTCAGTGGTGACGGGGACGCGGAGGGAGGAGGAGCGCGCGAGAGGGGATGGGAGGGGGAGGTGCAGGAGGTGCGAGAGGAACGGGGGGAGCGAGGCGAAGGCTTGCAGTGTGGCGTTGACGTAGCACATGTTGACCGCACCGAATGTGCTGTTGAGTAGACTGGCGGTGGGGAGGGGAAAGGGAAGACGGAGGGGAGCAAGGAGGGGAACAAGCAGGGGAGGGGAGGTGAGCGTGGCGAGGAGAGGGCTTGCAGTGCAGCGTTGACGTAACACATGTTGACGGCACCACATGTTTGACGGCACCACATGTTGACGGCACCACATGTTGACGGCACCACATGTTGACGGCACCACATGTGCTGTTGAGGAGAGTGGCGGTGGGAAGGGGAGAAGGATGAAGAGGGGGAGCAAGAAGGAGAAGGAAAGGCGGGTCAAGAAGAGTCGACAGCATGAGGGGTGGAACGGAGGGCGGCAGGCGAGAAAAGGTGGAGTCGGAGGTCAAAGGGAGTGCGTGAAGGCAGGGCTGAGTGAAACAGGGATGGAGCGCGAGCAGGAGAGCGTGGAGAGGGGCAAGTGGGGGAAGAAGGGGATTCATTCTGCAGGACATGCCGGGGGAAAACACCAGTGGGGGGGGGGAAGGGGGGAGAGGTATATGGAGATGGGAGGAAAGGGCAAGAGGGAAAAAGGCGCCCATACCCAATCCTTGACTGTGGAGTTCTGAGCGGGCGGACATCCGCCTCAGGGTTTGCCACATTCCCTCCCACTGCAGCATGCCTCTTTGCTGCAGACGAAGCGGCAACAGCATGGGCTGCAGCAGCAGCCGCCACTGCCCCACCTGCTTCCTGCCCCTTCTCGTCCCCTCCGCCCGCCTTGCAGCTCTCTTCTGCTAAGCATGCATTCCCCCGTGTCCCACGCGCGACATCCGCCTTCTGGGCGTTCTGGGGCGCCTCGACATGCCCCGGCCCCGCCTGCTTTTGCCCCTGCCCTCTCTGCTGAATGCCCTCTGTTTGGTCCTTTGATCCAGTCGCTCGTCCCCTCTCCTCGCCTCGTGTCTGCTCTGCCTGCACTCGCTGCTGCCCCACCTGCTGCAACACGTAACTCCGTTGCACCTTCGCTGGTCGGACATCAGCTCCGGTCAGACCGCTCCTTCGTCTGCTGCACTCCACGTCAGCATCCAGCTGCAGCCGGCTCTTCGGCAGCGGCTGCTGCTGCTGCTGCTGCAACTGCTGCTGCTGCTGCTGCTGCTTCGATCTGCCTGCAAAGCCCGGCCGCCATACATCTGCCGAGAGGGTGGGGGGGTGGGAGGAGGGGGGGGGGGGAGGGAGTAAGGGAGAAAGAACGTCAGTGAAAGACGCCACACTGCCAGGTATTATTTTATAATTTTCCTAGAAATAAAACCACCAAGGACCCCACCAAAAACTTCAAGATTCTCCGAGAATAGAGTCTACAGCAGCGGCTGTATATAGGGGGGCCGTAAAGCATGAGTTATAGCCATTGTTGCTCAGCTGAAGGCGACATTGCACTCGTTATAAGCCGGCTCACCACTATCTAGATCGTCGCCGAACAGCTGGCGCGATATCGGCCGTTTCAGCTGCGGAGCGCTCGCCGCATTCGTTTGAACTTTCCCCCCTTCCGCTTTCCCCTGTTCTCTCGCCGTCCTTTCTTCCCTCTCCCGCTCTTTTCTCTCCTTCTCCTGCCGTCGCTTCCTCTCCTCAGCCCGCTCCTGCGCCTGCTGCTGCTCCCTCTGCGCCGCCAAGCCCGCGAGCGCCACAGCCCTGCCTCGTCCTGCTCATAGCGAGTACACGGGAGGAGGCATACTCGCACAGTATAAAAGAAACAGTCTCGCGAATGCATAGCGTCGCATGACAGCAGCGGCGATCGCTTTCGCAGGACCACTGCGCGAAATCTCAAGGACGCATCTCCTTCCCGAAGCGGCGCCTCTAGCAGACCACATTATCGTGGGAAACCCGAAAACAGGAGAACGAGGCTTGCTCTGAAAAACGCTTTCTAACACGAGTGGAAAGCAGGTCGACATACAGCGCAAGGAGGCCGAAAGCGCTGATGCGGCTCACCGTGTTTGGCGCATTTCAGCAGCAGCTGGTACGTCGCGTCTGACGTGGACAGCTTGCCGCCACTCGCCATGTTCTCCGGCATGGACCACTCGAGCCCGCACTCCGAGTTTAGTGCAGATTACAAAGCGCTAGTAAGTACTAAAAATGTACGTCGGAAGTAAATGTCGTCTCACTGCACTTCAGCGGTCGTAGCGCTGCACTCTGGGCTTTCTAACCGTCGCAGCTTCTCGAGGGAAAACGTGGCTATAGCGCACGTGACTGCAGTGAACGGGATCCACTGCGCTCTGATACGGGAAGCTACGCTAACAGCTGGGCAGATGAAAGGGAGCACCTTAGCTGGGCTGTGCTGCACCCGGCATGCGCCTCGCAAGCGACGACACGGCTGCTTAGTAGCTCGGCGGGATTTCGCGCTTCCATGCGTTGGTCTTGGAAAGCAAGGCTAGGTTCGCCATGGTAATTCTGAGGCCGGATTTGCTAGGGATTCCTTCATGAACCTCGGAATTCCTCTCGAGGTGGTTCTATTTCTGGCAAGCCAGACCACCGACGGTTCAATGAGGGCTGGATGTCCCGAGGAGGAAGTGGATATTCAGGTCCGGTTTTACCGTTTGAAATTCGGTTCTAGTCGGTGGATCCCCATGAATCTCTGGCAGGCTGCCTTGCTGCTGCATTGGTGGTTTGGTGCTCTCTCTGCTCCGGTTCGGTGGGAACTTGCGCAGCTTCCATTGGTTGACCATTTACAGTATGGCGAGTTTCGGCGATTTGAATTTCAAATCAGGCTGCAGAGGGCAGGCTTGTGCTGGAAGGAATCAACGAATCTTCAAGCTGACGCGACTAGGGAACACTAATATAGAGGCATAAGGGCGTGATACATGTGGTTCGGGAAACGCCTAACGGAAAGAGGTTTTGCAAGTATTTGTGTGTTTCAGTGTGAACTTGAGCGATATGGGGGAAAATATCCACGCCTTAAAGCAAGAAGATATAATAATGACCCCCCTTTCTAGTTGGGCCCAGTTTGATAGGGGGTGTACAGTAGGCAAAACGAGCCCGGCGCACGAACGTCAGAATGGAATTCCATTTCGCCCCTGGGCAGCTGACCGCCCATGGAGGTGTGGCAACACAACGAAAAAACAATGTGTGCGACATGACTAGAGCACCTAGCGACCCAGACGACTCATGTCAGCGGGCTGCAAGAACGCGCGCCAATCAGAAACAGGTACCATATGCCCCAAAAACAAAAACAACTCAAGAGTTCCAACCTGTCGTAAACCCATGTGAGGGACCTAGGATTACGAGTATTCCAACAATAAAAAGGGAACAGATACAAAGTCGTCGCATCATAAGCTGCTAGTGACGCCGTACCCATTCAACAGTGCGTGCCTGGTCTTAGAGGCTAAAAATTAAGGTAACCAGAAACGTACGCCAACCCGTCTCTGCTATAAAAGTCGTCAGCTACATCGGGAAATGCGGTAGCCACAAACACCGGATGTGCGGCCCAACCATAGGATTCCCGGGCTCGCCTTCTACCTCGTCGCGCTATCCATCGCATGCGGCACGCGTGCAGACGAGCTCGGCGCTAAGCTGCCCTGTGACCGAGGCGCAAAGAAAACGAGGTCCCCGCGCAAGACGCGGAATCGAGAGACCACGCGCCTCGCACCTTGAGCCACGCGCTGTGGGCTCGTTGCTCGCCGCCGACTAAACCTAATCTTGAGATGGCGCGGGAGCTCCAGCCTCCCCACCCGCCAGCCAGTAAGCACATCCCGCGAGAGGAGGCCAGGAGGAAAAAGAGGGGTGGCTACGGCAAAAAGTGCGGGGGTGAGGGGGTTAAACTGAGTGGAGGGCAGGGGGAAAGGGAGAGAAGGGCAGGGGGAAAGGGAGAAGAGGGCAGGAGGAAATGGAGAGGAGGGCAGGGGGAAAGGGAGAGGATGGGAGGGGGAAAGGGAGAGGAGGGCATGGGGAAAGGGAGAGAAGGGCAGGGGGAAAGGGAGAGGAGGGCAGGGGGAAAGGGAGAGAAGGGCAGGGGGAAAGGGAGAGGAGGGGAGGGGGAAAGGGAGAGGAGGGCAGGGGGAAGGGGAGAGGAGGGCAGGGAAAAATGGAGAGGAGGGCAGGGGGAAATGAAGAGGAGGGCAGGGGGAAAGGGAGAGTGGGGCAGGGGGAAAGGGAGAGAAGGGCAGGGGGAAAGGGAGAGGAAGGCAGGGGGAAAGGGAGAGGAGGGCAGGGGGAAGGGGAGAGGATGGCAGGGGCAAAGGGAGAGGAGGGCAGGGGGAAAGGGAGAGAAGGGCAGGGGGAAAGGGAGAGAAGGGCAGGGGGAAAGGGAGAGAAGGGCAGGGGGGAAAGGGAGAGAAGGGCAGGGGGAAAGGGAGAAGAGGGCAGAAGGAAATGGAGAGGAGGGCAGGGGGAAAGGGAGAGGAGGGGAGGGGGAAAGGGAGAGGAGGGCACAGGGAAAGGGAGAGAAGGGCAGGGGGAAAGGGAGAGGAGGGCAGGGGGAAAGGGAGAGAAGGGCAGGGGGAAAGGGAGAGGAGGGCAGGGGGAAGGGGAGAGGAGGGCAGGGAGACATGGAGAGGAGGGCAGGGGGAAATGGAGAGGAGGGCAGGGGGAAAGGGAGAGGAGGGCAGGGGGAAAGGGAGAGGAGGGCAGGGGGAAGGGGAGAGGAGGGAAGGGAGAAATGGAGAGGAGGGCAGGGAGAAAGGGAGAGAAGGGCAGGGGGAAAGAGAGAGGAGGGCAGGGGGAAAGGGAGAGAAGGGCAGGGAGAAAGGGAGAGGAGGGCAGGGGGAAAGGGAGAGAAGGGCAGGGGGAAAGGGAGAAGAGGGCAGGAGGAAATGGAGAGGAGGGCAGGGGGAAAGGGAGAGGAGGGCAGGGGGAAAGCGAGAGGAGGGCAGGGGGAAGGGGAGAGGAGGGGAGGGAGAAATGGAGAGGAGGGCAGGGGGAAATGGAGAGGATGGCAGGGGGAAAAGGAGAGGGGGGCAGCGGAAAAGGGAGAGGGGGGCAGGGAGAAAGGGAGAGCAGGGCGGGGGGAAAGGGAGAGAAGGGCAGGGGGAAAGGGAGAGGAGGGCAGGGGGGAATGGGAGAGGAGGGCATGGGCAAAGGGAGAGGAGGGCAGGGGTAAGGGGAGAGGATGGCAGGGAGAAAGGGAGAGGAGGGCAGGGAGAAAAGGAGAGAAGGGCAGGGGGAAAGGGAGAGAAGGGCAGGGGGAAAGGGAGAAGAGGGAAGGAGGAAATGGAGAGGAGGGCAGGGGGAAGGGGAGAGGAGGGCAGGGGGAAAGGGAGAGGAGGGCAGGGGGAAGGGGAGAGGAGGGCAGGGAGAAATGGAGAGGAGGGCACGGGGAAATGGAGAGGATGGCAGGGGAAAAGGGAGAGGGGGGCAGGGGAAAAGGGAGAGGGGGCAGGGAGAAAGGGAAAGCAGGGCAGGGGGAAAGGGAGAGGAGAGCAGGGGGGAAGGGATTGGAGGGCAGGGGGAAAGGGAGAGAAGGGCAGGGGGGAAGGGAAAGGAGGGCAGGGAGAAATGGACAGGATGGCAGTGGGAAAGGGAGACCAGGGCGGGGGGAAAGGGAGAGAAGGGCAGGGGGAAAGGGAGAGGAGGGCAGGGGAAAAGGAAGCGGAGGTCAGGGGGAAATGGAGAGGATGGCAGGGGGAAAGGGAGAGGGGGGCACGGGGAAAGGTAGAGAAGGGCAGGGGGAAAGGGAGAGAAGGGCAGGGGGAAAGGGAGAGAAGGGGAGGGGGAAAGGGAGAGGAGGGCAGGGGGAAAGGGAGAGGAGGGCAGGGGGAAAGGGAGAGAAGGGCAGGGGGAAAGGGAGAGAAGGGCAGGGGGGAAAGGGAGAGGAGGGTTTAGGTGGAAAGGGAGAAGAGGGCACGGGGAAAGGGAGAGAAGGGCAGGGGGAAAGGAGGGGAGGGCAGGGGGAAAGGGAGAGGAGGGCAGAGGGAAAGGGAGAGGAGGGCAGGGGGGAAAGGGAGAGAATGGCAGGGGGAAAGGGAGAGGAGGGCAGGGGGAAATGGAGAGGAGGGCGGGGGGAAGGGGAGAGGATGGCAGGGAGAAAGGGAGTGGAGGGTAGGGGGAAAGGGAGAGGAGGGCAGGGGGAAGAGAGTGGAGGGCAGGGGAAAAGGGAGAGGAGGGCAGGGGGGACGGGAGTGGAGGGCAGGGGGGAAAGAGAGAGAAGGGCATGGGGAAAGGGAGAAGAGGGCAGGGGGAAAGGGAGAAGAGGGCAGGGGGAAAGGGAGAGGAGGGGAGGGGGAAAGGGAGAGGAGGGCAGGGGGAAGGGGAGAGGAGGGCAGGGAGAAATGGAGAGGAGGGCAGGGGGGAAGGCAGAGAAGGGCAGGGGGAAAGGGAGAGGGGGGCAGGGGAAAAGGGAGAGGGGGGCAGGGAGGAAGGGAGTGGAGGGCAGGGGGGGAGGGAGAGGAGGGCAGGCGGATAGGCAACAAAAATTATATGGAGAAAGAGATGGAAAGAATGTAAGAAAGGGGGAGAGAGAGCGGGGAGAGAGTGAACAAAGAGGGGAAAGAGCAGGGAGGGGGAATAGAGTGGGGAGAGCGTGGGGAGACCATGGCAAGAGTTTAATAAATGGCACAGAGACAACAAAAAATATGTGCAAGAGGGAAGAAAAAAATAAAGTGACGGAAACGAGCAGCGAGGGATGGAGAAGAGGGTGGAGGAGAGAGTGGGATCAGTTGGAGAGAGTGAGGGAGTGTGGAAGTGGTTAAAGAGAGTGGGCAGAGAGTGGGGAGAAAGAGGGGAGATCATGGCAAGAGGGGAGATCATGACAAGAGTGGGGAAAACACATTAGGGGTTACGAGAAGGGAACGAAGTCGTGGAGGAACAAAAAAAAAAAACAGGGGGGAAGTGCACACACACCCACTGTTAAGTGCGCAAGCCACTACCGGGATTGGGCGGCGGGTCCTCAAGGTGCCTGTGCAGCCACCCGGTGCCAATCACTGAAAATGACGTCACACCACTGCTTGTTCATCGGCCCAACCACACGGCTCCTCTTCCCACGGCGCACGCGTGTTGCACGGCGATGCCTCACAATGTATCGTAAGACCAGACGCTCCACGGTGTTGTTCCAGTGGATGATAGCAAGAGAAATTCTTGCCTCCATGCTCCCGCGGAAATTACGGAGCATGGAGTGTACTTGCAAATTACTGAGCTGAATGACTCATTCAGCCAGCTGCATGCGCCAAGTACAAAAGGCCGCATCTTCTCCTCACTGCAGTGCTTTTGCAGCCACGCCCTAAATGCCTTGTGTATCGTGCTGTTACGCAAATACACGGCACATTCTGGGTGTGAGAGTACGACCCCGTTACACCACTTGGCCCTTCCCTTATCTCCTTCCTATTTCATTCTCTTTTTATCCCATCTCATTTGGTTTCCTACTCTCCATTTTCCGTTATCCTTTGGTTTATTCTGTTATTATAATATCACCGACCAGGCTTGGGATGTACTGGCGTGCTATATCTAGTGCAATCCTGCCGTAATCCCTTAAAGCCAATAGCCTCGCGTGGCTATACACGGGGTGATTCTATTTTCTAGAAGGGTCTATTCCCTTGGAAAGGATAAACCTGGTTACCTGATGTACTCTGGAAGTATAAAAGTGCCTTGTATTCATCGATAGTGCAATCTTTCCTCGAGACATTCGATCCTATGACACTTGGTAATCAGAGCTTTTCTCACTCGGCCGCACTCAACAAAGCAGCAGCAGGGGGAAAGCGTGCCTCGAAAAACCGCAGGGGGCGACGAATTCGACGCCGATTCTGGTAAGCACCAGCTCCGCGTTTTGTGAATTACCCCGCCCGCGCGTGTTTTGAACAGGATGGCGACCTTCGACAACGCCGAGGTTACCCACCAGCTCTTCGCGAGCATCGCAGCCCTTCACGAGGAGTTGCGAGTGGATCGCGAAGCGTGGCGTAACGAGTTCGAGCGAGTAACTCGACTCATCGGAGCGCAACACGACTCGACAACGGTGAAGACGCAGCAGTCGCAGCAGTTTCTTGAGGCTCTGAAACCGCGCCCACCTGAGCCGTTCGATCCGAGCGATTGAAACTCCGACGCACGCAGATGGATCGCCGGGATGGAGATCTACTTCGCAGCCGTCGGATGGAGCTCGCTAGTCTGGGACGGACAACGCGTACGACTCGCGGCGACACTGATGCGAGGGCCGGCACTCGACTGGATTGGTGGCAACAACACCTTCATCCATGGTGAAGCCACATGGCAGCAGTTCCGCATCGACCTGCTGAAACGCTTCGAGCCAATAAATTCCGGGCTGAAGACCGAAGTCAAACGCCAAGTAGCAGCGTCAAACTACGCGAGCTACAGTGACGTCGTTTCGGCAGCTAAGTTCTCCAAAATGGGACACTTCATCCCGACACACACCACAGCACGCACCGAAGAAACAACATAACTCTTCGTTCGATACATCATCTCACAGCATTGCATTCCAACCACACTCATCTCCGACCGAGACCCCAAGTTCACCAGCAAGTTCTCAAAGGAACTTATGTCTCTACTCGGGACCAAACTCGCCATGTCATCCGCTTACCATCCGCAGACAGACGGACAGACCGAGCACCTCAACCAAATTGTTGAGCAACTCCTCCGAGCAGCCTGCAAGAACGAGATCTCCAAATGGGACTTGCACCTGCCCGTTCTCGAGTTTGCCTACAACAACATTAAACATGCCGCAACTGGACAGACGCCGTTCTTCCTCTGTTACGGACGCCACCCACTCAAACCACAGAAACCGACAACATCCGCTACAGTCCAACCTGCACACGACTTCATCACCACCATGCATCAGCTTTGGGATCGGACCCACAAGCGCCTCCTTGACATTCAACAGCAACAGAAGCACCAGGCCGATCGCCATCGCAACGAACACACCATCACCGTGGGAGACCAGGTGCTTCTCGACACCCGTAACCTTGACATCAGCCACCTCCCATCTAAACTTCGACCTCGCTTCTGCGGACCTTTCCTCGTTGAAGCACAGGTCACTCCTGTTACCTTCCGCTTACACCTGCCAGCTTCCTGGAAGATTCACAACGCCTTCCGTGTCCAACTTCTGAAGCCCTATCGGGATCCGAACACGATCTTCGTGGGACGCCAACCGCCGCCGCCGCCGCCCGTCCTCGTCCAAAATGAACCTGAATACGAGGTCGAGTCCGTGCTTGCACACCGCCGTCGACGGAATGGCACCGTGGAGCTTCTTATTCGTTGGAAGGGGTATGATCCTTCTGAGGACAGCTGGGTACCTGAGACTGACATGGGTAACGCCCGTCGTCCCCTGCATGACTACCTTGTCAAGCAGGGTGTTACTTCTACCACCCAGCTTTGAGGGGGGGAAGTGTGAGAGTACAACCCTGTGACACCACTTGGCCCTTTCCTTATTTCCTTCCTATTTCATTTCTCTTTCTATCCCATCTCATTTGGTTTCCTACTCTCCATTTTCTGTTATCCTTTGGTTTATTCTGTTATTATAATATCACCGACCAGGCTTGGGATGTACTGGCGCGCTATATCTAGCGTAATCCTGTTGTAATCCCTTAAAGCCAATAGCCTCGCGTGGCTATACACGGGGTGATTCTATTTTCTAGAAGGGTCTATTCCCTTGGATAGGATAAACCTGGTTACCTGATGTACTATGGAAGTATAAAAGCGCCTTGTATTTATCGATAGTGAAATCTTTCCTCAATGATCCTGTGACACTGGGCCTTACGCATCGGCCATGCATGTGGGCACAATGCCATGGCGAGCACACCTGGAGTGGACCCTGGCCCAGTGCTCTGCCGCTATTGCCAACTCCAAAGCCACTTCGGCCGTAGACATGGGCCTGCCCTCGGTAGCGAGCGTGGCACACCGCACCATGACATGGTGGAAATGGATGCTGAACAGCTGGGCGATCCCGACCTCTTCAACAACTTCATCCACCCCCGGCGTGCCACTCTGTTCCGCGCCTGGCTGTGTCGTATTCGCCGCTGCACGACGCTTGCGCTTCCCCCTTTGATCCTAGCGGTGGCCCCCCTCCACTGTAGGCCCGGCGGATGGTGCGCTCGTGCTAGGGGTTGGTGCATCCGGATCTACGTCACCATCCACGATGTGCCACCATTCTCGCGCCCGCACATCTCCAATCTCGACACGTGCCCCGTCAGTCTCCTCTGTGTAGAGGACACCACGCAACACCGTAGGGGTTGGCAAGGGTAGAGGCATCTCATAAATTGTGGGTCATCTTGGTGACAATAGTGCATGCACCACAGCAAGCAATTATGGTCTGGCAATATATGGCATGGACCATTTCACAACCCTACCAAGAATAAGGACACGATTGATGTGCCAATGTATGGCACCACGCCGTAGCGGCCATCCACAGAATCAAATACAGATAAAAATCACATACCCTCTGTAGTCATGGCTTCGTTGGAATCCCGAGCAGTAGCCACTGTATCGTGATGCCCGGCAACCTCTTGCGCAAGCAGCAGTGAGGCGTACGATGTCGGGCGTATGCCATTCCTGGGATGCGGGTCCCAGGCAAACATCCGAGCCACGTCTGCAAACCGCATGGTGCCGTCGCCCTCCTCCCCCACTGCTTCCGCCCCTGCTTGTGCCCCCGCCTCTGTCCCCGCCTCCGCCCCCGCATCCACCCCCCCTCCCTGTGAACTCTCATCAAGGGAGCGTAGTGCCTCAGCGACATGGACCTGTGAGGCGGCACTCCCTGCCATCCGGACTATAACTTGCCGCAGCTCTGGGTACTTGTAAGACGCATCCCCTGCGTCACAGTGGGCGTAGACTATTTTGGCATGGTGCCGACAAACTGCCTTGACGAGCGTCTCCCTAGTTGACGCAACCGTCAATCTGCCCTTTTGACCCTTTTTATCCAGCCAGAGGATCATTTTGGACTTCTTTATGTGCCAAAGATCCTCGATGGTTTTTGCCTCCTCCACAGTCATTGCCTCGTCTTTTCGAGCGTCAATCAGCTCTCTTAGCAATGCCTTGACCAGGCTCTGAGCCATATGCCACACGTCCTGCTGGTGTTCTAACCCCAACTTGGCTATTACCGTCTTGAAACTAGTGCCCCCATCTGTAATAACACCACGCACAGTGAAACCCAAGGTTGTCAGCTCCCGCATTGCCTGTACAAATGCCACCCTCTCCATTGCAGTCGATGAGATACCTTGCTGCCATTTGTTAATAGTCACGCAATGCAATACCTTCCGCGACTGACGATCCATCAGTGACACCGTACACCATTCACCTTCCCTCGACTGTGACCATCTTCCATCTGCAGTTATCCACACTTTTCGCCCCCCTCTCGACATGACCAAATCCCTGACCTTCGCCATTGACACCTCACTCTGCCGGACAATACTAGCCCACAAACCGAGAGGGCCATCCATGTACTTATAGTACGTCCTCGCTGCAGATACCTCAAGCCCGATGTTGCGTGCGACATACCACATCGCGCCATACCCTAGACCGCTTATCGCGTAGGCGCCTAGGGCAGTTTTCGTGAGCCATGGCATTTTGGGACCCATGCCTTCGTCAGCTTCACGGTTGCATGACCACAACACCTCAGTTCGCTTGCACCTCAAGCACCTCCATAGCAAGCCAAAGGCCCCCAGAGACCTTTTCCATGTTTGCAACCACATGGACCCCCCACACGTCATACCCGTTGTGCATTGAAGTGAGAATAGTAGCATCAGACGAACGAACCATGTCGTGTCCAAATAGCACACCATCCCCTCACCGGCCTCAGTGAGGGTTGGTGAGGCCGGCCATCCTTGCGGGACCCTACAGCCAAACTCCACTCGCCCATCAATGCATTGGACGGTCCTGTATGTCCACAACAGTGGAGGAGGCGGGCACAGCAAGCCATTAGGATGGGCTATTAGCACTCACCAGGAAAACGGGACTCAACAACCTACGCATGACCTTGACGGGCCGCTTACCTCCCCACACTCCGCGGAGGGCGCTTCTCTTGGCTGCTCTTCGGCCATTGGCACGTCCCGCACGCGCCCCACTGGCGTGTGTGGAACACCAAGACATGGCAGCCTGGTTGCTGCGTGGCCAGTGCTATCAACACCACATAACCCGGCACCCCCCTGCAGCCCACCGACTGCTGTATCGCCCCCCGTTGCTAAACCACTGCGACCCGCAGGTTGTGCACCCCTCCTCCGCTTGGTGGCCATAGAGCCGCCGTCCCCCGCTGCATGGTCCTCGATATGCTCTGCAGTGCGCCCCCCACGTGCTGGTGCTGTTTGTGATGCACGCATCACTCCTGTCTTCGTGGTGAGCCGTGGACGACTACGGCCACAGCGCGCCACTGCCGCAGTATGTAGCGAGCGTGGTCCTATAAGAAAACAGGCATATCAAGAACTGACTGCGTAGGAGGTTGGGGCGCATTTGGAATAAACTTTCAGAATGGGCAGGACAAGGGTTGAGGAGGCGACACACAAGAGGCGTCGTGGCAACCAGGTTTGAGGTATGATTTACTGGCCCAGCAGCGACGAGACATTGGACAAGGGGTGAGACATACAAGTCTCGTCAAGCCCGGGTGCCAACCATGTACATTCTAGTGACACTCAAATGCCATCGAGGATGTTATTTGTGGCCAGAAGTGCCTGATAGCCGGCCTCCCATCGTGGGCCGCCCCACTGGAAACGCGCTGCCTCTGCTGGCGGCTCATCCTCGGGGGGAACAAAACTGTAGACCAACCCGGTGATTGGCGTTGCGGCAAGGGACCTTAGCTCCACAACGGTGGGCAGCCCCTGCCCTTTCTTCTTCTGGCATGCTAGCTTAGCATGCGCGTCCTTCCCGTTGTCAAAGGCTTCCCTAATACCCGTGCCACGAGTACCTTGGAAGATCGTTGATTGTCACATAGGAAATGCGACAATTGCCTATTAATGCCACCAAATTGAGGCGAAAAGAGGGTAGAACGAACTGACAGTCGAGGTATTGGATGCAAGGCTCAACAACGCAAGATTTATAGTGGGAGGGTGGTGAGGTGCATTTCCATGTGGATGCCACATTTGCGGATCACGCGTTCTACATGGGGTACATACCCGCAGATGTGGCCACTGCCACGAGCTGGTTGACCAACAACGGTGCGACCTCAATGAGCAACAGAAGCAGATCGCTGTCTCGCGGCACCTTGCCACCTCCCAGCTTGCTTGCAAGTCCACGGCGTAAATCGGCCCATGGTATTGTCAGGTCCTTGCTCAGCGTGATCTTACGCTTGACATAACCCTTGTGGAGAGCCTTTGCCGCTGCACTAGGCACTGCTGGGGCACCTTCCTCATGCCCCATTTGCTCCTCGCCGCTCTCCATGCGCGCAACTGTGGAGGATGTGGTTCTGCCGTAAGAGGGAGTGGCGGTCGTTCGGGGGGGGAATGGAAATCATTGATTGCGCGCTATCGGAGCGGTTCGCAATATAAAGAAGAGGACGTAAGTAGGGTGATGAGTGAGCAGGATGGAAGGGCATATCAGGGTTAGACTGAGAGCCCAGAGAGCACCAGGATACTGAGTGAGCAATGTTGGAAGTGGCATGGAAGAACCCCGCATATCCCTAGCAATGCAAGTTGTGGTGTTTGAAAGCTCCGCAAAGGTAGCACGGAATGCAGTGTACACACACTCCTAAACCTACCTCCTCTCTTCAAAACTCTCATCCGCATATCTCTCACCTTCACAACAACCCACCCTTCCTCGATTGTGAGCACCCTCCCACTCACCCTCTCCCTCCTCCGCCTCCACTGACCTTTACCGCCCCCGCTGTCCAGCCACCCACCTAGCGAATAGCAATGCTGTCCACCACGTGCCTCACTCCAGTCTCACTTCTCTCCCACAATCCCCTTTCCTCTCCTATTCTCTCCCACTCCGCTTCTCCCTTGCTCCCCTTCTCTCCCATTCTTTCACCACCCCCGCTCTTTCCCGCTCCCCTTCTCTCGATCTATCCCATTCTTTTCCGCTCTCGCCCTACCTCGCTACCTTTCGCTCCCAATCTCTACCGGCTCCCGCACCCCCCCGCTCTCCGTACTATATGCGGGCTTACCGCCGTGTAAGTGCAGTGAGTGCGCCCAGTGAGTGAGGGGGATGTCAACGATGGTAAGCCTGCGGGCCAGAGGGAATCTGTTCGGGGGGGTGGGGGGGGAGAGAGCCAGTGACTGGAGCACAGATGGCGCACCCCCGTTACCTTGCCGGTTCCTGTCTCCACTCCCGACCCCGCACCCCCAGCCAACACCCACTCCTCCCACTCTCCAGCCACCCACCCTGCCAACAACCACGCTGTCCAACACATACCCCTCACCAACTCCTCTCCTTACGACATGCGTGCTTAGAGTTGTGTGAGTGCAGTGTGAGCGACCAGTGAGTGTGGGGGGTGTAGGCAGCAGGAGTGCTGCGGGCCGTTGGAGATCTGTTTGGGGGGGAGGGGCGGAGAGGGCGTGTGACTTGGCCAGAGGAGTCGCACCCCCGTAACGTTGCAGGAACAAGTATCCGCTCCTAAGCCCTTCTCTACCTCCCTCCCTATCACCCACCTTCATAGTGTTCCCCACACCCTTTCTCCCAACTCCTCTCTCTTCCATCCTCCCGCTGTCCTATCTGTTACCCTTCCAACACCCCTCCCTTCCTCACTCCCAAACTCCCCTCTCCTTCCCCCCCCCATCCCCACATGCATCAACAGGAACGCAGTCATTCTCCAGCCACCCATGGCAAAGAACAAACATGCAACTCCAAGACATGCCTCTCCCGCACTCCCCAGCTCCCCTCACATCATGCGGGCTTACAGCTATGTGGGTGCAGCGAGAGCGAAATGAGCGAGGGGGGGTGTCAACACCGGCAGGTCCGCGTGCTAGCGGGGGATCTGTTTGTGGAGGGGCGGGGGGAATCTGGGTGTGTCTGGGGCAGAGATTGCGCCCCCACACTAACCCCTGCTGGTACCTTCACATCATTGTACTCGCACACACTCATTCCCACCCTGCATTGGGTGTTTTACGCAGACTCTCCTACCCACCACGTCTCTCTTCCATCCCCCCCCCTCTCCTATCTCTCACCCTCCCAACTTCCCAGGTTCTCTCAATCCGAAAACCCCCTCGGCCCCTCCTCCCCCTTCTACCCCTCTCCCGCCTTCACCAACCCCACTTCTTTCCCGCTCGTCTCCACACTCCTCCCGCTTTCCCATATGCCCCTTCTTTCCCCCTCCCCTCACCCCCACCCTCGTCAACCGCTCCACTCCTCTCCCGCTCCCTTTCTCTCCCTCTGCCCGATCCCCTTCTCCCCTTCTCCCCTGGCCCCCTTCTTGATTGGACCATTCTATAAGGTTGGATGTACAACCATGGCAAAGGACAGCGCAAGACAGGTGAAGTCCTAACAAACCAGGCCAGAGGTTATAGTAGTGACCCCTCTTTCTACTTGGGCCCAAGTAGAAACGACTCAACGGCACAATATTTTGCTTCGTGCCGGGCAGCAGCCTGGATTTTTTTGCAAGCCTTGGGCCACGAAATCGAATTGCACCTGCGACGGGTATGTTATCGTCACACATCGTACGACCACTGTCATGCGCAGAAAATAATTTCAACCAATCGGTAACCAGCCGTGGTTTAGCAGGAGTAGTGAACCCGGGTCCAACTTGAAATTCGACTTGGGTCCACTTGGTTCAACTTGCGGGCAGTGGGGACTGTGCGACTGGTCGCGCGCTATTTGCGACTTGAGTTTGTTCGCTCCAAGTGCTGCTCATGCCACGTTTCCCACCAAACGAAACGGGGTTTCCCGCCAACAAATCAAGTAACTGCACATGCTCGCGCAGTTTCCCCTGCTCGCATGTCGGGACAGTGAACCCCTCTGCCCCAACCAGTTTGTCCCTTAGTCGCGACACCGAACTTCTGGGCCCTTCCAAGTTGGACCCGCCTTCATTATATCTCCCCCTCCCCTTCTCTTTCGCTCACATCCTCTCCTCCTGCCATTCTCTCCTGCTCCCCTTCTCTGCCTCTCCCCTTATCTCTTAGGCTCCCCTTATCTCCAGCTCCCCTTCTCTCCCGCTCCCCTTCTCTCCCGCTTCCCTTCTCTCTCTCTCTCTTCCCTTCTCTCTCTCCCTCCCCTTCTCTCCCGCTGCCCTTCTCTCTCTCTCTCCCCTTCT